ACTGCGGTGGAAATCTGCCACGCTGCTTAGCTTATGGCGGCTGGTGGCCACCTCCATCTCAAAGGCAGCTGTTGAGAGACGAGTCTCTACCCTGCTGCTAGCATGAGACTGAGACTAGGAAGCCCAGTGTGGCTCCATTTCTGTGCATTCAGAATCTTTAACCTTTCTTAGGTCTACGTGGATCAATGCCCAATGGTGAGCGCCAAATGTAGCTGGAAGTTTTCCTGTGTCCCACACAGCTGTGCCGTCCCTCAGCTGCTTATAAAATAATCATTCAGAGGCTTAATATTAATTACCAGTTGCAAGGCCTATGGCAGGTTTTTCCCTAGCTAGCTCTTATATCTTAAATTAACTCATTTCTATTAATCTATGTTTTGCCACATGTTCCATGGCTTTAGCAGTCTGCTGGCATCTTGCTTCTCCTTCGGTGGCAGCTGGCGGCTCCTCCTCTCTCTCCTTTCTTCTTCCTGTCTATCTGCTTGAATTTCCTGCCTGCCTCTAAGCTACCTTGCCATAGGCCAATACAACTTTATTTATCAACCAGTCAGAGCAACACATATTCACAGCATACAGAAAGACATCCCATAGCAGAGGAGCCTCCTAGATCTGGTGGCTTTCTGAGCTTCCTGGGTCTTTCAGGTATTGTAAGAGTTGTGTGTCTTATGAGTTCCCCTCTTCCCTCTAGTATGAAATGTTTCTGTTCTGAGGAAGTAGTTACAAAACAATACACTTGGGCCCAGAGGCCCATCTCCCTGGCAATTCCAGATCATATCAAGTTGACAACACTAAACATCATAAGCTCTAACAATGTCTACTTTTGCTTTGTGTAATTGGGTACTCCAGTAGTGGTTATATATAAAATTGTTGTTTTCCTCATATTGAACTGACCTGTTGATCTCTTCTTCTCCCACCCCCTCGGTTTTAGCTGACTGAGTATAGCTGCTTCTGTGTATATCTTTTTTTTTTTTTCTACTTGCCTGGAACAGCTCTTTCCAGTCCTTCACTTCTGGTGTGTCTATGCTTTTACTGAAGTTAAGAAGGAACTCTGTCAAAAGTGTTGGCACTTGGTGAAGGCAGCAATGGACACCACGGGTGTGGGCAGGGGGACCAGTCTTGGAACACAGGGGTCAAGCCTCCAACCATACCTGCCACTATGTCAAGCACCAGTGTATTGTAGGGCACTGTCGTGTCTTGGGTTCTGCTTTGTGGGTCTATGTAGGTTTACGGGGTTACAGACTTTAGAGCAAGTATGGTGGGAATCCAGGGATGTTTATACACTGAAATTAGTGTTCTCCCAGGAAGAATGGATCCTCACAGTGGCCTCTGCAGACAGTGTGTAGTGGCTAAGCCTGGTCTCATGAACTGGGGGTAGGGCACGGCAAGTTTCTTTCCTGAAGTGGAGCTACTGTGAGGATTCTGGGTCTCCTAATTTGGCTTGCAGCCTGTGATGAGTGGGGCAGTCTCTTGTAGCTAGGATTGATGATGTTCAAAAGAATGGAGTTCACCTAGGCTATGCTAATTACCCTTTCTTCTGTGGGAAGTCCCCTGGTTATGACTCTAGGGTCAGCATCCCAAGCATCCATGTCTGAAGGGGTTCCCATCTTTTGGGGACTTGCTGAGTCCCATGGCCAATTACTCCAGAACGTCATCATTTACTTCCTTTGCTTCCTATCTGCAGAGGGGAGAGTGCTGAGACTTTTATTTTGCCTTCTTTTGATCTTGTTTCTTTTTATTTAAAAAACTTTTCAATTACTCTTATTTTTATTTATTATGTGTGTGTGGTGTGGTGTTGTATAAGTGGGAGTGCACACACACATGTGTGGTGATGTTTTATTTGTGCTGAAATGTGGTGGTATTTTATTTGTATGTTAATAAAGTTTGCCTGGAGATCAGAGGAAATAGTAAGCCATTTTAAGTAAACACAAAAGTCAGGCAGTGGTAGCACTCACCCTTAATCCTATCACTTAACAGGCAGGGTCTCTGTGTGTTCAAGGCCACACTAGGGGAACAGAGCCAAGCGTGGTGACACATGCCTTTAATCCCAGCACCAACCATAGAGACCTGGAGGTCTGCATGGACAGGCAGTGACAAGGAAGTGAGGTAGCTGGGCTAAGAGCCAATGAGAGGGCAGAACAGCAAGGCACTAAAAGCCTGTGCAGACAGGAAGTCGTGGCACTTTGGAAGCTGCATAGTGGTGAGGTAAGGTTAGCTGGTGGCTATTCCTATTTCCCTGATCTCTAAGGCTCTCGCCCCTATATTTGGCTTCATGGTTTTTTTTTTTAATTTAATAAGACCGCTTAGAAATTCGTCTACACACACGTGTGCACGTGTGGGTGGAGGTCTTGTCTTGATTGCCCTCTACTTCGATTTTCTGAAGCATCTCTCACTGAACCTGAAGCGCATCATCTGTTGTTAGGATGGCTGGCCAATGAGCTTCAAGGATACTCCCAGTTTGCCCTCCCATCCCAAGACTGGGGTTATAGCCACGTGGCTCTATGCTGGGCTTTTAAACAGAACTCTGGCGATCTAACCTCAGGTCTTTGTGCTTGTATGGTAGGAACTTTGCCAAATAAGCCGCCTCCTCAGCTGTCTGGTATAGTTTCTATTTCTCTTATCTGATCCTTCACTCAGATGAAACGTGAAGACCACGAGAGACCCGATAGCGAATCAATTAAAGCTTCCCAAGTCACTGCAGGGTCTTTGTGACGAAGAGTCCAAAACCGATGCTGAAGTTTTCAGTTATTTAGTTGAAAACTTTGGATCCCAGTGTGGGAAAGATCAGTTCAGGAACTAATCATTTGGATTTTGATGTCTTTGGGCTTTGTTATGTCTTTAGAGAGATTTGTTCTTTGAGTTTGGGTTTCAGACTTGAACTTCTCCCTAGACATTTGGTAAGGAGGAGCTGGAGAGTGGCTCAGGGCACTTGCTCTTCTGTCAGGAACTCAAGTTTGGTTCCCGGCACCCACATCAGGCAGCTCACAACTGCTTGTGACTCCAGCTTTAGGGAATCTGGTGTTCTCTTTTGTCCTCTGCAGGTACCTGTACACAGGCATACAAGCACACACACACAAACACACACAAACACCCCCCCCCCACACACACACACCCTCTCCTTGGCCTGCATTGGCATCCCTCCAGCTGATGAGATTCCAAGAGCTTTCAGCGAAGCAAAGCTCTGTTTGCCTGAAGAAGCCTGAAAGTTACTGTATACTTAGAAATAATCACGTGACCCATGAGGTAAGAAGACACGTATGAAAGATGCTATCGCATCAATAGGATTATTTTTGTCCAATTTAAGTCTGTATGCGAGGGCAAGAGGAATGGATTTTGTCTTAGTTAAGATTTCTAAAACACCATGCTCAGAAGCATCCTGGTGAGGACAGGATTTATTTCAGCTTACATCTTGTAGTCTGTCACAGTGCGAAGCCAGGGTAGGAACTCAATTTAGGGACTGGAGCAGAGGCCATGGAGGAGTGCTGTTTACTGGCTTGCTCCTCCTGGCTTGCTCAGCCTGCTTTCTTGGAGAACCCAGGACCACCTGTTCAGGGGTTGCACCACCCACAATGGCCTGGGCCCTCCCACATCAATCATTAATCAAGAAAATGCCCCTCCCTACAGGCTTGCCTACAGGCCAGTCTTAGAGAGACATTTTCTTAATTAATGTCTAGATTTGTGTTAAGTTGACAAAAACCAACCAGAACAGATTTTCATGCACCAAAAGCAGTGCACAGAGTATAACGAGGCATCTTTATGTTTTGATATTGTGCATATGCACAGAAACGCCGAGACCTCGTCAGTTAATGAAGACATGCCATTTTTTTTTTTTTTTTGTATTTCTTCACTTGTGGAAGATAAAAAGGTTTTGGCTTGTTGGGTGGCCGTCGATGGTGAGAATTCATAGTGTCTTCTTGCTGGTTTTGTTAATAGACTTCATTTATCTGTCATGATTTTTTAAACTACCATGGTTATAAATGGAGAAGCACACAATCACTGATTACAGTGGTATGCATTTGTACATTTCACTTTGGCTTATTTATGATATGTCTGACTTGTTCACAACTGTTTTACCCATGCAACCATTTGTTATTACGCAAAGCCATGTGTGTTTATCCTAAGTATTTTACTGTACATACTAGTCTGTAAGATGGTCTGTCGTGTTCTCAAGTTCCACAGATAAATTACCCTTTTACATTAATAGATGTATTGTAAGGAAATTTAAAGTTATGTTCTCCCAGAATTATATGATTTAGGAATTTTTTAGTCTTTTGTAATAAACACAAAAAAATGTAGTCTTTTTTTTTTTTTTTATTTTAAGGATTTGGATTCTGTTACTTGAGGTTGTATTCTGGGGGAGGAAGTAGGGATTACAGCCTGATTCTCAGGTGCAGTGTCAGCAAGATCACATGACTGACAGTCTTTTACCCATATGCATGCTCCAAGTAGAACTCATCAGTAGTGAAAAATTATATTTATGCTTATTGGTTCAAGCCAGGGTTAGTCAAGTGCTTTGGTTCTGAGCTACACTCCCAGCCTAGAAAAATGCTAGGCTTTCAGGAGCGGATGAGAGACAGGGTTTATATTCCAGGGAAGGCAATCCATCATTGTGTGCTTCAGATTCATACTTCACATGTTTAAAGTTCTACCTTGATTTTTTTTTTTTTTGGAAGCTCACTTTGCTCAAGTGATTTTCAAGATATGAGGTTCTCGTACATTTTCTTCTAGTTGTATCATTATTATTATTATTATTATTATTTAGAGAGGAGAGTATTGCTATGATAAATCCCAAATAATTTCTCAAACCTGTTTTTAAAGTGATGAAGCTGGACACTGAGCAGAGGTGTTCCAATACATCCTGAAGCAGTGTGGGGATTTCCCCTCTCAACTCCTTTTACTAACTTCTGGAAGAACTTTAAGAGGCTTGCAGAGACCAGGAAGTATGGACTCGGGACATTTATTTACAGGCAAGAGAGAAGGTGAGTGTGGTTAAGCAGGAGTCTGCAAAGCGTGTCCATGCTTGCCGGAGTTTGAAGGGCTTGCACTTGTCTCCAGTCTAAGGATCCTTCGCTTTGGGAATGGGCGTTGGGTAGGGCTCAAGCACCCACCACCTCCTACAGCACTTCTTCTCGTCGTTGCATTTGCCGATGGTGTCATCCGTGGATGTGCACGCTATGTCTTTACATATCCCTTTCAGAAAAATGCACTGCTTTTCCCCTGGGAGAAAACCAGCCTCTCCTGCGCAGGAAGACATTGGACAACACTGTTAATTCACTTTCAGCGTACTGTAAATACGGGTGAAGCCCCAACCCCAGCAGGTGGCTTTGGAATGGGAGACAAATATTGTCTACACAGAAAGATCATGTGCTTATACAGAAGTAGTATCCTTTTTTTTCTTTCTTTCCTTTTTTTTTTTAATAGACACCTTGGAATTAGCAGGCTAACTTGTGAGATTTTAGAGATGTGGTCCTCACCCTGGGCAGTACATCTTAAGTGTGTGGAAGTGTTTACTGTTAACATGATGGAGAAGATATCTTTGGAACTTTAGTGGACACACAGTGTCTTGTTCTGTTTCCTCTCTAGTGAATCACCCTTCACTGAAGGCATCAATACCTCCACCAAGAAGCAGTTTTAACAGCATCTTTATTAGATGCATAAGTTCTCATCTCCAACGTTGTCCACATTCCCAAGAGGTGGGGTGGGTGTTTTTTGGTCGTTCAATGACTTATGGATAATTGTCATTGTTTATGATGGTTGGTTACAAGTTATTAATTGTTAATGGTCAGGAAAAAAGCTGAACAAGGAGATTAGATTCAGAGTTTTTGTTTAAAAAAGAAAAAAGAATATAGATTTGAGGTAGATAATTGAATCTACTCTGAGAAAAAAGATAAAGAAATAATAGGATAAATGGGTAGATCATTGAATCTACACTGAAAAGAAAAAGGGGAAGATATAAAAATGACAAAAGGTAGATTACTGAAACTTTTATGAAAAGAAAAAAGAGAGAATATGAATATGATAAGATAAAAAGGTCAATTTTTGAATCTTCTTTTAAAAAGGAACTACTTGTTTTAAATAAGATAAAAAATGATATTTTTTGTCTGAGTTTATCAAATGTTACTGGACTGAACATTGTTAATATATTAATGGAGTTTTTTGTCTGAATCTGTCAAATGTTAATGGACTAGACATCATTAATGTAATCTTGACTGTGTATGTTGTATATACTTATTGGATATAATTTTTCTTGTATTAGTTATAAGCTTTTTTAAATTTTAGACAAAAAAGGGGAAATGTGGTGGTATTGTGTTCCCCAAAATATTGTGCACCCTAATAAATTTATCTGGGGTCAGAGACAGAACAGCCACAATATTAAACATAGAAGTTAGGCAGTGGTAGCACACGCCTTTAATCCTAGCATTCCAGAGGCAGAAATCCATGTGTTCAAGGATACAGCCAAGCGTGGTGACACACACCTTTAATCCAAAAAAGTGAGCCTTTAATCCCAGGGAGTGATGGTAGAAAGCAGAAAGGTATATAAGGCATGAGGACCAGAAACTAGAAGCATTTGGCTGGTTAAGCATTTGGCTGGTTAAGCTTTCAGGCTTTGGAGCAGCAGTTCAGCTGAGATTCATTCTGGATGAGGACATGCATAGAGACACTTTTCAGAGCTGGAAGTTTTCTTCAAGCATATCCACATATTTTCTTAATTCATTTGGCTGTTGAGGAGAGCATGGCTAAGGCTGCATGTCAGTGCCCTTCTGCTGGCCTTTCCAGCACCACAGAGGGTCATTCTTTCCACTGATGATGAAGGTGGATGTTATATAAAAGCCATGCACCTGCTTATGGTCCTTAGGAGAAGCTGGCTCAGTGCTTTTAAAAACAAAGCACACAGGGGCTAGGGTACGGGTCCAGGTTCCAGTGTAGATAACCTTTGGCCCTGGCCCTGACTTGCTTCCCCAACAGCTTTGCCCTCCCCCGTCCTCCTTGTGCACCCCTCAGCTGTCTTTGCAGACACTCACACTGCACCTCCACCTTCCCTGCTGCCGCTGCTGCAGCTGCGGCACCCCCAGACCTGTGCCCGAGAGCCCACCTGAATGTCAAGGGACAGCAGCTGACGCAAAAATCAATCCATAAAAGTAAAACAAAGCACATAACGCTGAGAGAGAAAAGTGGGGAGAGGAAGACCTGGAGGGGAGGGACGAGGGGGTGGGTTTCATCGGAACACATCATATGCATACATAAAGCTCTCAAACAATAAAAAGAATTGAAAAAAAAACACAATAAAAGTTACAGGCTTTGATCTTTTCCTGCATCTTTGATATTCTGGGTTCACAAGAGGCCTGGCCATGTGAAGTGCTCCCCTCCACTGAGGAACTCTGTCCTCGAAGTGCAACCGATTTGGGGAGAGCAAAGGAAAGCTGATCTCCAGGGTCAGGGATCTCTAGGAGGTCAGAGGCCTCTGAGTTCCCTGTCAGCTCTGCAGGAGGCCACCTCTCCCCTCCTCCTCAATAACCCTTCAGTACTCCGTTTTATTACCATAAGAATACTTACTGTGAGTTCCAACCTCTTCACATTTTTAAGAGCCATGGTCAGGAGGTTTTAGAATTCATCTATAAAATTTACCCACCGAATTGTCCAACTGAATTTTTATATCAACCCCCCCTGTCCTCTTCTCTTCACCTCCCAGCCCTGATAACGACCATCATAGTGTCTATTCTGAGTTCAATTAACTTATATAGCAGAATGACACCTTTGGTTTACACCACCTAGCTTAGTAACCTCTGGGTTCTTTAATGCTGTCACACGTGGCAAAGAATCTCTCTAGTTGCCTCAATACTCAGTTAAGAGACCTTGAGGCAAAAGTCTGGCAGAAATCAGTTGCCATTTTTATGTCTGCATGGATTGGTGGAAACAAGACTTGGTCCAGTGTTGCAAGCACATGTGTGATCTTAGTGAAAGCATGTGAGCCTGGCTTCTGTTATCTACAGTGAAGGATATGACCGCTAAAAGTGCCGTCTACGTTCAGATAATTACCATCATATTTTACATCACATGTTCCTGTGAGTCTGTCCACCTCAGCCATACTTTCTGACTAGGGCTGAGAAATAAACTGAGGATTGTAAAAACTCCTCTGTGAGAGTGCAGCTGTGTGCCAGGTTAGATATGGAGATGTTCATAAATTAGGCCCAAAGCCAAAAGTGAGAGGCTTTGGCTGTGCTCTAAGCGGATCTCAGAGATGAGCAGAGAAGGGCTCTCTCGGTGAGGACAGAGAGATGGAGGCACCCCTGCTGGTGGTGGGCAGTGCTGTTACCACTGTCCAGCCCCCTGCTCCCTCAGGTAGGCTCAGCAAGCCCCCTTCCTTCCAAAAAGCAGGAGTGAATTTTGTAAGTTCTCACCAGAATCTGCACGAACCAGCCAAAAGAGAACTGGAGCAGCTTTAATTCCGATTCTATAAACTAACATTCAAAGGTGTGAATTTTGTGTTTCAAGGATGCAACCAGATTCTTACACGTGCTTTACATTTTAAAAACTGACACTTCCCATTCTCTTCACTTTCATAATTCCTCTGGTCCCGAGTTTTTTTTATTTGCTTCTAGTGTTTACATACACGTCTCACCGATAGACTGTATAGCTCCATCTACTCAGCAAAATGAGTTGATTTATCTCCGCACTCCCTTGAAGACTAGGGTGCTGGTGGTAGCCATTTTTTTAAAAAGTCTATTGACTTAAGTTTTTGGTCAAGTAGTTTCTCAGCCTCTGTTTCTTTACCTTGGCTTTCCCCTCTCAGTGGTGGGGTTCTTGGGCCCCATGTTTTTGTGGATAGGATTCCTCCATTCAATTCTGAATTTGAACCTCATCAGTTCTGAAGATGTTGGGCTTTGGGATACTCAAGTCCATGTGCTGACATCTGAGTGATAAGGGACAAAAGTATAGCTGTGCAGACCTCCGCACACCTCCTAAGAAGCCCTGCTCCTGCCTTCATTTCCCGGCTTACCTTTCGGCATTATCATTACAAAGAGGAAGAGGACAGACAGACAGGAATGAGGTCTCATGGTTGAGTGGCCAGCAGTGTGGAAGGTGGTCAGTGACGGTGAAGTGCAGAGCTTTTATTTACTTCTGGGGGCCTGAGGTTTCTGTCTGGTCAGTGAAGCTTAACATGCAAAGAAGAAAAACTGCTTTTGTTGGAATATTTCCAAACCTTAGAGTTTCTAAATTTGGTGACAAATTAACCTAATAACAGGAAACCAGATGGTTAATCTTTTCCTTCTGCTATATGCTCTCAGTTTCACCAGAGGTCAGTATCTTTAGCCAATTCTCTTATTGGAAAACACAATTCATGATTAAATTTTTTTTACATGGCATATACTGTTTATGCCTGTTTGTGGAGGGCTGTGTTATCATCAGCTACATGGACACAGCATGTATTAGCAACTCTCTTCCTGTGAACATGATCAAACATCCCCTAGCGCTTTGAACTCTTTAATTAAATATTACATATCTTTTCTAATAGCCCATCACATTCCCTTTGTGATGTCTGTATACTTACAGTGCAAGGTTATCCACCTACCCGGGGCCACACCTTTAAAGAAAACAAACTCCCCCTCCCCCAGGAGCCGTCAGCTCCCCACAGCTCCTCAGTTAGGGTGAGGCACTCATTAACCCCTTCCCACTTTGTGCGGAAATGTTGGCTGGCGTGATCTCAGGCAGGTCTTATGCAGGCAGATCATCACAGCTGCCATAAGCTCATGAGGACAGTTCCTATCCTGTCCAGAAGACGTGTTTTGCCCTGCTCACCCCGACCCCTGGCTCTTAATATCTTCCCTTTCTTTTGGGGGCGCAATCATTCCTGAGCCTTGTATAGTGTGTGTGTGTGTGTGTGTGTGTGTGTGTGTGTGTGTTACACAGATGTTCCATTTGTGGCTGAGCACGCCACAGTCACCTCTCTGCATTTTGACCAGTTGTGAGTTTCTGTGTTAACCATGGTCCACTGAACAAAGAATCTTCTCTAATGAAGTCTGACAGCTGCTCTAATTTATGGGTAAAAAGAGGACAATATGATACCTTGGTATTTTTTGACAAATAATAGCAGTAGGTTTACTCCTGAGGCCTATGAGCTCCCCAACTCTGGTCCTTGGCCAGATTTACACAGTAGGCATGTGCTTCTTTCTTAGGAGGGGTCTTAAATCTGAGCAGAACACCGTAGAATGTTGCGTGCGTGTGTGTGTGTGTGTGTGTGTGTGTGTGTGTGTGTGTGTGTGTGTTTATTTTGTTGTTGTTTCGTTTTGTTTTTTGAGACAGGGTTTCTCTGGCTGTCTCAGAACTCTCTTTGTAGCCCAGGCTGGCCTCAAACTCACAGAGATCTACTTGCCTCTGCCTCCCGAGTGCTGGGGTTAAAGGTGTGAGCTGCCACGCCTGATCCTAGAATGTTCTTGACACTGCTGTACCTACAGGCATATCTTGCAAAAAAGAAAACATAGAAGATACAAAATTAGGAGTGGGGGGAAGGAGGGGAGGGGCAGGGAGGGGAGGAGTAGGGAGGGGAGGAGTAGGGAGAGGAGGTAGATCTAGGAGAAGTTAGAGGGAGGAGGAGTGGTGGAAATGATGAAAATACATTGTAGACATGTATGACAGCTTCAGAAATCGACATATTAAAAGTATGGCATGCTGTATAACAGAACTTCTTCCCCCACTGGGATTGTCTATCCTCCACTTTCTCACCCCACCATTTCCTGCTCCAGCTGATCCTCCAGTGATGGCCAGTCTCCTCTCCTCTCATAGATTATCAGCCTCCTTAAGCTTCCACTAGTGAGTGAGAACACACTATTTGCATTTCTGGGCCTGGTTGATTTCACTTCATACATTTTCCGATTCTACCCATGTTGTCGCAGATGAAAACAATGTTCAGACACCTTTCAAAAGCTTCATGAGAGAAGAGCTCACTAGAGAGTTGCCAGTTCGGGGGAAGTGTCTATGTCCCGGAGAGAACAGGGTAGAACGGAATAATGTGGTGTTGGTCTTCCTGTGGTTGGCGTCACAGAACGCTGTCATTAATCTCCAGCTCTACCCACATCCCTGACAATGGTAGGATTTTGTCCCTTTTAAATGATGGGGTGCTATTTTACTGCATTCACGATATGGATATCACATTTTCTTTATCCCTCCAAAGATAGGGAGTTAGGTGGGTTCTGTTTCTTTGCTGATGTGACTCTTGTTGCAGTAAACACTGGAGTGCAGACAGATGGCTCCTGAAAATAGTGTTGCAGTTCTGTCCAGCTGTGCCACTGCTGGATCCCGTGGCTCTGCTTGTAACTCTGAGCAGCCTCCACTCTGCTCCCTTTCCTGGTTGTACTAATTTCTATCCCCATTGGCATTGTGTGAGTCATTCTCCCTCACGATCTCATTGGCTTTTGTGATTTTTTTTTCTTTTTGATGATAGCCATCCCAACTGGGGTGACGGGACACCCTATGATGCACACAACTTGCGTTTCCTGGGCACTCACAATTTTTCTATATACTTTTTGAACACACTATTTGTGTGTTCTCTTTTGAGAAAGGTCTATTCAAATAACTTTCCCTTTTAAAAAACATCAGGTTTTCTCACTGTGTATTGAGTTCCTGGTATATTCTGGATATGACTTCCTCGTCAGATAAATGGAGTGCAAATGTTTTCTCCCCGTGAACAGTTTGTCCCTTGATTCTGCTGGTTGTTTTCTTTGAAGCAAAGATGCTTTAGAGTTTGAGATTATTCCATTTGCATAGTTTCACATTGTTGCCTTTGCTTTTGGGGTGCGATTTAAAAAATAATAAACCCATGCTGTCTACCCAACTTGTTAAATTCTCTACCATTCTCTTCCGGCAGTTTATCGTTTCCAAGCTAACACTTAGGTTGCTGGTCCATTTTCAGTGAGGGATGGAGGCCCCTTGCATCCTTGTGAGGATGTGCCATCGCTCGCTGGCACCACTCTGTGAAAGGTGACGTGTGTTCCCTTTACAAGAGGGTGACCCCGAAAGCTTGCATGGGAGGGTGTGCATTTTTCCTATGGGAGAAGGGAGTCGACTCAGAAACAGGGTGAAGGAGGACTGAGATGTTGGACAAAGGCAGTGGTTATGATACCCATTTTCCTACTCCACAGGGGACATTGGGAACCAGGAGCTCACCTAGACCAGGTAGGAGGATGGAATACACTGGGAACCCAACCACAGTAGAAGATGGGGTAGAACACAAACTTTAATATTTTATGTCTTTTTATCTTACTTGTATGGGTGTTTTGTCTACATGTCTATCTGTGTACCACATGCATTCAGTGCCCACCCAGGCTAGAAGATAGCATCAGATCCTCTGGAACTAGAATTACAGACAGCTGTGAGCTGCCATATGGGTGCTGGGAACTGAACCCGGGTCTTCTGGAAGAGCAGCCAGTGTTCTTAACCACTGAGCCGTCTCTCCCCGAGAAGGCTGCTTTTTAAAGTTTATGTTCTGGAACTGGAGAGATGGCTCAATGGTTAAGACCACTGGCTGCTCTTTCAGAGGACCCAGGTTCAATTCCTAGCACCCACATGACAGTTTACAACTGTCTGTAACTCCGGTTCCAAGGAATCCAACACCTTCTTTGGCCCATACCTGCACCTGTAACATTTGTGGTACATAGACATACATAGAGCCCAAACACCCACACACATAAAATAATAATTAAAAAACACAGCCTTCTCTTTGCTATTTTTCTTTATTATTTATTGAGGGATGAACAAGAATTTATAATAAAATACAGAAGAGGAAAAAGAGAGGAAAGGAGGGGGTGGCAAGGGCAAACAGACTATGAAGGATCCAAATGAAAGACTTCAGCTCTTAGTTGTAGCATTCTCACCTCTGGGTTGATGCCCCATGGACAGGCAGCAAGGTCCTTTATTTAAACACATCCCAATGTACACTTCTGTTTCATTGTAGTGTGATTGGCAGACCCCATTTGGATGTTAACCGATTTCCCTGAACTTGCCCCTGACTATGTCCAGAGAGGGTTACTGTAACTATTTACTTGACTTGATGAATTTTTACTTAGTACACAGATTGGGAGGGGGGGGTCACATCTGGAAATAACTTTGTACATATGTTCATTGTTACTTGATTTTTTACACCAATACTTAAAAACCTGATTGTAATGATATTGCTCTGCCCATGACCTTGGCCTATAGGGCCAGAAGGAGGCAGTGCTTCTTGCTATTGTACATGACCTCTTAAAAGGAAAGGGAGAGAGATCATGAGTCCCTTCTCACTGCTGCCTGCTTCCTGATGTGGATTCGCTCCCAGTCAGATCAGAGGACAACTTCAGCTGTCTACTCACTCCATTCTATATTGTGAGTGTATTTCCTCACTCTAATAAATTTCCCTAATATTCCTTAAACAGACTCCAGTAGATTTATCACATTACATGGCACCCAACATGGGGCATGAACCAATGATCCTGAGATTTAGAGTCTCACGCTCTACCAGCTGAGAGAAGGGACCACATGACCCCTCTCTCCTCTCCAAAAAAAGAGGAGAGAGACAGAGAGGAGAGAGATGGCTCAGTGGTTAAAAGCATTGACTGATGTTCTAGAGGACCTGGGTTCAATTCCCTGGCCATCCAGTGTCCAATTACATCAGGAAACAGGAACCAGGAAGGGAAACCTTGTGAACCCTCTCTTGTTGCCAGCCACAGGAATATATCACAAGAACTGGTTATGGCAAAGTCACTACCTAGAGGGATCAAGTAATTCCTCCAGAGGAAGCCAAATTCCAAGGAGCTTTTGGTGTTATTTGGCTTGTTATATATCATCTGTATTCTGTTATGAAAGTCATATGTGCCTTCATAGTTTTCTCAACTGACTTTTCCCTAAGAAAGGCTAACAATGTGGACTGATCACTCTCTGGACACACACATTCAAGGTATTTGGAGAACAGCC